TTACCGGACCATAATGAGTGACTTATGATAGGGAGATGCTAAGTGTATTCAAGAACCTGTTTATAAATACGCACTGCGACAATATATGTGCACGCCGAGCTAAATGCACCATCCGAGGTATAAACAAGGCCGTATTCACCTTGTTATTTACCGAATGCAGAGAGGTATGCCAGAATCGACGACCTAACCCTGCCTGCCGGTTACTGACTCATCTGCAACTTAAATCTCAATTCGGACCAGACACTGGGAAATCAAAAACGGATCGAGAAACGCAAACCGATTTTCGATGGGGCTATAGACATCGCTGGGATTCTTTTAAACAACTAGGGACCGAGAATACAGTTAATGTGTGGAGGAACACAGTACTCAGCACAGTACCGGTCAGGTGTGCGAATGCACTGCTACTAAAAATACTTTAGGACGGTGAGCGGTTTGTCTATTTAGAAATCATGATTATAGGAACGAACTAGGTCATGACAATGTGCCGCCTCTCAGTTTTGAATTTTACTAAATGCCCAAGGACGCACGACAAAGACCAGACGCGTCTGTATAACTAGTTGCCTATGTCTTGTCGTTTTAATTAAATACACTTTTAGATGATTAGTGATTTATTGAAAACAACGTGATTACATTCAGTACGCCATGTTGCTTCTGCAACCCGTAATACTTGTATGTTTTATCACTACATCTCCCTTTTTTCAATAAAAACATAAATTCTTAACATTACAAAAACTACTTATCCTACTTCTTAATATTTACAAATTCAACTTAACAACAGGCTTTACAATACGTCCTTAGCGTGTTATTCTCGATTGATTTACGTCGCAATTCGGTCTGTTTACATTTTGATTATTATCAGAGGTTGATTTGCAATAACTTTTCGTTTGTTTCACTTGCTCCTCATCCTCCTTACAGTTTTTGGCATTTTTAAAATTATAATGATTGTTAAAGTTCAAATCTACAGTGTTGCGTCTTAAAGTCTTATTAGTATTTAAATCTTTGATTATTACTGAACGCGGTGTATGCCATGGTTTTACGATTTTTGCTGGTTTCCATATTTTTTTATCATTATCCCTATACATAATAAATTTTTTATTTAGATCGAAATTTCTTTCTTTGGTATTTTTGTTATGATTTATTTTTGTTTTAAGTTTGTGATTTTCAAGCATGTTATGAAAGTTTTCGACAATTTGTGGTTGTAACATTGTTTTCAACATAGGTAATTTAGTTTTCATTTTTCTGCTGTACAATAACATTGCTGGTGTGATTCCTGTAATGAAAAGGGGTGAATTTCTGTAATCGAGTAAGATACTTTCAATATCTGTCCCTGTTTCGTTAAATTTCGTTAAAAATTTTTTGCAAATGCCAACATATCGTTCACTCAAACCATTACTACGAGGATATCTCGGACTGCTTGTAGTTATTGAAAAATTCCAATTGGTAGCAAAATTGTGCATTTCGAACGAATTGAATGGCATATTATTTATCAGCAATTAATTTATCAGGTATTCCATGTGTCGCAAAAATTTCTTTGAGTGCTGAATTTTTGTTTGGTAGTAATTTCAATTCTACCTAATGTGAATAATAGTCCGCTAAAACTAAATAATTTTTTCCAGCACATTTCAGAATATCACAACCTACTATTTCAAACGGAAGTGAAGGAATTTCGTGAATTATCATTGGTTCATGGGCATTTTTAGGTCTATATTTTTGACAAGTTTGGCATTTCGCAATTAGTTCTTCAATTTTTGAATCCATATTAATGAAATAAAATAATGATTTTGCTCTCCACTTGGTTTTGTAAATACCTAAGTGTGATTCATGGACTTTGTTAAGAATAAAAGTTTCTAGGTTTTTTGGAATCATTATTTTATTTTGTATGTAGACTATTCCATCATTCACAAAAAAGTCATGCCGCATTTTATAATCAAATTTTACATTTATCTTGTGGCCAACCATTGATACATAATGATATTAATTCTTGTAAGATTTCATCTTTATTCGTCTCGTATTTTATTTTTTCGATTATTTTGTCGCTCACATTATCTGTATGAATTACTTGATTCAGTTCTATGTCAGTTTCAACATTTTCAGCTGTTGAACATGCTCGACTTATCGCGTCTGCAATTAACATGTTTTTACCCGGAGTGTACACTAATTCGAAATCATACATTGATAACTTGAAATGAATTCTTTGAAGTCGACTAGATGGAATTTGATTTATTTCTTTATTCATTATACCAATTAAAGGTTTATGATCCGTTTGAATTTTAATTTTTTGGCCATAAATGAAATAATAAAAACGTTGACATGCAAATAATATCGCTAAAAATTCTTTTTCTATTTGTGCATATTTGATTTCATTGTCTGACAAACTTTTTGATGCAAAGCTAATAGGTTTTTTATCCTGCAAAAGTACACAACCAATGCCATTTTTGCTACTGTCAGTTTGTATTACAATTTCTTTATTTCGATCAAAATTATTTAGTGACGGCGCATGACTTATTAATTTTTTAATGTATTGAGTATGACCATCTAACCATACAAATTGTGAATCTTTTTTGAGTAAATGTCTTAATGAATTGGATTGCTCAGCTAAATTTGGGATAAAATCGCGCAAATAGTTAATTAAACCCAATAGTCGTTGTAAGTCTTTTTATCACGTGGTGTATCATATTGCATTATTGCTTTGATTCGTTCTGGATCAATTTCGACAGTACCATTATGAAAAATGTGCCCTAAATATTTAATTGATTTTTGTTTATATTGGAATTTCTTTAAATTGAATTTAATATTCATTGCTTTTTTTTCTGCAAAAATCAATATATCATCAATATAAATAAAGATGTTATCAATATCTCCGAAAGTTTGAGAATTGAATTTCTGAAAGACTTGGGCAGATATTTTCAAACCAAATGGTAGTCTTTTAAACGCATAACTACCAAACATTGTTGAAAAAACACAGTGTTAAATACAACTTTCATCAAGCCTAATCTGCCAAAATCCCTCCTTTAGATCCAAACAACTAAAAAATTTGGCTTTACCAAGTTTAGATTTTAGATCAGACAATGTAGGTATTTCAAAATGTTCGTCTTTAATACTTTCATTTATATATTTGGGATCTAAACACAGTCTCAACGTTTTATCTGGTTTTTCTACAACAGTGAGTCTACTAGCCCATGCTGTCCGTTGCTCATATTTTGTAATAATATCCAATTTACACAATCTGTCTAATTCATTTTTAACTTTATCCTGCAATTTTATAGGAATTCTGTAAGGTGGCAAAGATACAGGATTTGCGTCGTTTTTTAGTTCGATTTTATATTTATTTGGAAAACAACCTACACCTTTCAAATTTTCACTGTATTTTTCAATTAAATTTTCTTTACCATTTAAGTTTAATTTTAAACATGAACTTAGTCCCAAAATCGGTGTAAAATTAGCTTTGGTGACAATAAATTTTTCAACGGAATTCATTGTATCAATCTTAACATTTAGATCAACATGTCCAAAATGTTTTATTCTTGAACCTCCATACGCTTCTAATTTGAGATTACTACTCGTTAATTTTATTTTTTTTTGTACGTAGTTTTTTGTATATTTTCAGACATTTTATGGTATTAAATTAACATCTGAACCAGTGTCTAATTTAAAATTTACGTTTACATTTTCAACTTTCAGAAATTTGCTGCATGAGATTGAATTTACCCTGAATTTCCTAACATTATTACAATAATACGTGTTATCGTCGTTGTTTCCATTGTTTCTTTCGTATCTCTCCTTCTTCTTGTCGTGGAACTTTCCATCTGTATTTTTCGGTCTCTCATAGGAGGAGGACGAAGGGGTTTCTCTCCATTTTTGTTGAACAAACATTCCATTTTTCTGTTGGTTCTCCTGTTTCTTTCCAGCTACCAGGTTGACTTCTTTTCCATGGATTTCTTGGGTTTGTCTTCTTACCAGTTCAGCAATTCGAAATTTTTCAATGGCGTCTTTTAACTTGATATCTCCCAACTTTATAATCGTGTCGATGGTGTCCGTGTCAGCAGCATCCAATACTATTTTGTCCCTCAAGAGTTCATCGGCATTCTTGAAGTCACATGCTTGCACCAAAGTTTTGCAATCAGTTAAAAAGCAATCAAAGGGCTCGTTGTTTGCGATTGTAGAAGAGAAATTTTGCATGAAGTATGTTCTTCTTTGGGTTACAGTACTCTTCAAATGCTTGTAATACTTTCTCTATTTTCTTCTCATCACCTTTTCCATACTTGAATGTTTCGTGTAGCTCGACTGCCTCTGGTCCAATTAGATTAAGAAGAATTGCCACTTGCCTTCCTTCTGGTTCCTTGTCGTACGACGATGCTGTCATATATATGTTGAAGCTCTTCTTAAACTTTTTCCAGGTTTCATATAAATTTCCATTGAGATTCAGCGGTGCTGGGACTACGAAGTTCGACATCTTCAATTTTGAGGTTAGATTTTCTTCTTTTCCACGAGGTCGTTGATTTTCTTCATTAATCTTCAAAATTTAACTTTTCACACATTACTTTAGGTTCACTGTGAATTTAACCGTTCGATTGACATGAAAATGAAACATCCTGTACACAAGTTACGTCCAACACCTGTATGATTATGTCCAGCGCGTTAGCATCTAAATTGCGCAATATCATACGTGTTAACCGATATTGCAGACTTTTGTCTATCGATATTCCTCACTTCCTTAATTAAATTGTCTAAGCATTTCGTATAAATCTCAGTAATGCAGACATGTGATTGCACGTGATAATTAAAGAAATGCAATAAATACGTTACTAACGTTATAAGTAACTAAACGCTATCGCAAGATCATTGCAATTACGTGACTTAAGACAATCATAAATTAAAATTGAACCTCTATACTTTAAGGATTTGTATTTATAACACCTCGCAGGAATGTGATTTATACATTATAAAGCAGGACTTAATGGGGACAGTTAGCAGTCATAAAACTAATCGATCTTTTGCAGAAAAATTCTCCAGCAACACATGATCACGCATTCCGGGAAACTGTGCAAGTGTCCGAAATTGGGATGCATTTTTTCGGCGCGAAGCATGGCGGAACTGAAGCACCATTTCAAGACGCATTCTGACGTGAAAAGCTTCTCGTGTGACATTTGCGACTACAGAGGGAAAACGAAGCAACAACTGAAAAGGTAATCTTGTTAAGTGAGCTTAGTGTAGTGATTCGCTCGGATTGGTTTCAAGTTAAGATTAGAAAAATCGAGCTGACAGGGATGCAAATGAGGACAAGGACGACGAGTCTCATCGTAGTCAGTCTTATATATAATCATAATTAATTTACGTACTAAAAAATTAAATTAGTCGAGTCGACGAGTGACACTTCAGTGTGTTATAGTTTGTTCTAGAGAACCGACAAAAGAGACATCAACGGGGCGGCAGCGCAGTAACCTCCCGTCTGACGCGCGTAGCATTTTTGATTAATTTGACTAATGACTTAATAAATTTCCCGTGGTGGATAATTGAGACAATCGCAACCCGGCCATTTTGTTCCATACATTACATTACCTTTGAAATACCTGCGCCAATAAAGTATGGTGAGCAACGACAAGCAGTGTTTAGCAATGAGTTCCAGCTTCGATTTCGGGTTAGATAAGGGCATTAATTACAGCTCGAACTCACCAAAATGTCAATTAATGCGAGCATAACCACACCGGCCGCCTGTTCAAAGTGTTTGCTTAATTTATTTATTCAACTCGACGGTATTCGATCCAAATGCGTTGCTGGCTATAAATTTAAAACGAAAACCGCTACTACTACTGTTCTTAATTGATCGAATACGTAATTTTATCACAAATCTTTTTTTCAGCCATTTAACTGTCCACGACCAGTCCAAGAAGTATTCGTGCACCAAGTGCTCGTTTTCGGCGAGGACGCTGTGCCACTTGAAACGGCACATCCGCCTACACACGGGCTCGAAGCCTTTCAACTGCCCGCATTGCACTTACAAGTGCAACACCCTGGCAAGTCGTTAAGATAATTTGCAATCGAGCTAGGCTCGATTACATAGTTTAGCATAATTCGTTCTAAATTTGTCACTGATTTTAGGAAAACCTCCGCAAGCACATTTTATTGACGAACAAACACCCAGGCAAGTGCATCTACGAGTGCAAATTTTGCGAGAATTCGGCCTTCCAGAGCAACTTCGCGAAGGAATTTAAGGTTCATCTGGTCGGTCAACATCCACAGATTTTCAAGACTGGCCGAGAAGCTACCAGTTTTATCGCGGGAATATATGATGTGCAAGACGACCGCACGGAATTTCCTGCGATCAGCGAAGATGAAGAAGAAGTGATTGCAGAAAGCGAAAAAGACAGGTTAGTTTTTCGCTTTCGCTGGACAGCACGACATTTTTTTGGGTTTCAGAAGTCAGCCCAAGGTAATTATCCTTCACCAGTCCCCCATTCAAGTGAACAAGGATCCGGTGGTGGCCGCCTCCAGCAGCAAGGACACCCCCGACGAGATCTTCCCTATGTACATAGTGTCTAAAGACGACTCCGTTTCCGTGGACAATCTAACGGAATCGTGGAATGTGGTCGGCAGCTATGATGTCGAGGAGTCCGGCGCTTTAGTTCCTTTCAACAGCGATAATGTCCTCTTCCAGGGACATTTCTAGTAATTTTAATAAGCGCCCCGCCTGTGTAATACAAATAAAGTCGTTCGAACACAGATTCGTTAATTGATAGTCGAAGAAAACAGTGAATTTGCTTACAAATGGGTCCGCTCGCACAACCACAACCGCTAAAATATGGAAACGCACCCATTAGCGAAATAACGAGAGAGAAAATAACGCCTCATCTAAGAGCGTATTGCATATCTATTAACTTTACGACTGTGTAAACATCGCTCATAGTTTTCATTAATTAAATTTTATGTGTATTTATGTCTTCGGCGCTGCAGTTAATTGCGATGCAAGGCTCCGTAATCAGGTCGCTCGAGCTGGTGACAAAAAGCGATTGACGTTTTAAAACGGCCGGATTTACGCACCTGTCGCTGGTAACTTGTGTGTTGTAAATGACTAGTTTCAAAAATCAAAAATAATGGTTGGGTATTGATCATGTTCACTGTGTGGGTCAGCGGTATGTGGAAGATGAATCGTAAATACCGTCACGATAAAAAATAAAATAATGACGTTATCAACTATTGGTTGAAGGGTTGGTTTTGGTTGTTTCGTTGGTGGAATCAACAGCGTCTATTGTTATGTATATCTTAGTGGCGGGGGTCCAGCTTGAGAACATAAATAACCAACCGAGCTTCACGCTACACACATAAAATATTTGATTCTTATTCGCCGATTGTTGTTCTCTTGTTCTGTCAATCAGGTTAAAGGAGTCGGATGGCTGCTCTTCTCCAGCTGAGATGAAGCGAACAGAAAATGGTGGACGGCGGGCAAAAACTAAACAGAAGCATAAAATATTATGTTCACAAAATATCAAATTTAATAGGTAATCATTATAATTATTAAATTAAAAAATTGGTCGAACATTATTTCGACAGAACTTCCGTCGCCCAGAAAGTACAGTACATCACATCTAAAGTGTGATTACTATTAAATTGTCGCTTACTAAAATGACCATAAAAAATAAAACACGCTTTACTTTTGTAAAACACTTTTATTAAATAAAAATTTGTACTTAAAAGAACAAGTTAACTACTTAATACCAACTTAATAACAAAAATATAGCGTATTTATGTCCATTGAGCAACGTTTTCGAAATGTACGAAATTAAAGTCAAAATATTTAAAAATTACAAAAATTTCGATATTTCACAGCCATTGGAGAAAAAACGGTTTGAATCATCTAAGAAACTAGACCGGAAGTGATTTCTACAGCTCGAAATCTACAAGAAAACATATTTATTACGTTTCGAAAATTGTCTAAATTGCGCCGAAATTTGAAGAAGGGGGAACCATTGGAAAAATTTCTCGTTTGAAAAAGTTGTCTAAAAATCGACAAAAAATTCTAGGATATACCGTGAATTCCTCCGACTTACTTTCTGATTTCTTAGTAACGATAGTGACTGAAATTCACCTTTTATTATTTTTAAGACAATAAACATGGCAAATGAGATACCCTTTAAGAGAAGAGAAGACGAGTGGGCGGGGCTAGTAACTGTTAAAAGATCAGAGTGAATTTGGCAAATAAGATCTTTTTAAGAATAACAACAGGTCAGGTCAAAATTTTCCAAAAATAGAACACAAAAGTCCTCCAAAATTGTTTTAAATAATTTCCAAAAAAATCTCCACGGGCTCCCAAATAATACACCATGGATAACCAAGACTCCGGGCTCGTCTTTTGGTTTTCTTGTTTAATTAATACATTCAGTTTTGTTTGTATAACCCGATTACTAAAGGATATATTTCACATAGTAGTTGCTCGTAGAAAAATAAGGATTTTACAATTAAGCTCCGCCCCTCGGCTCACGACGAATAAAATCATCAGAATTGATAGGGCGGGTGGGCGGCGCTTATACGTTGCCCTCTTTTTTCCTAATATACATAGCCATCTTTTCACAACAAGAAACAGTTAAAATGGTACATTCTTGCAAGGAAAAATGCATTTTGCAATTATGGGCTGGAGCCCAAACTTTCCATTTTAAACATCCTTTAAGTTTCTTGTCGAAATAAGTCTAGTCATATTAACAAAAAAAATTGCAAAATGTAGACTCACCCACCCGCCCTACGCAAAATCTTAACAAGTACTAGCTAGAGGGTATCTCATCTGCCAAAATTACTCTTATCTTAGCAGGTACTAGCCCCGCCCACCCACCCTCTCTTTTCTAAGAGGGTACCTCATCTGCCAAAATTACTCTTATCTTAGCAGATACTGGTCCCGCCCACTCTTTTATTAGATGGTATCTGATCTGCCAAAATCATTCTTATCTTAGCAGGTACTAGCCCCGCCCACCCACCCTCTCTTTTCTTAAAGGGTACCTCATCTGCCAAAATTACTCTTATCTTAGCAGATACTAGCCCCGCCCACTCTTTTCTTAGAGGGTATCTCGTCTGCCAAAATTACTCTTATCTTAGCAGGTACTAGCCCCGCCCACCCACCCTCTCTTTTCTTAGAGGGTACCTCATCTGCCAAAATTACTCTTATCTTAGCAGATACTAGCCCCGCCCACTCTTTTCTTAGAGGGTATCTGATCTGCCAAAATCATTCTTATCTTAGCAGGTACTAGCCCCGCCCACCCACCCTCTCTTTTCTTAAAGGGTACCTCATCTGCCAAAATTACTCTTATCTTAGCAGATACTAGCCCCGCCCACTCTTTTCTTAGAGGGTATCTCATCTGCTAAAATTATTCTTATCTTAGCAGATTCTAGCCCCCCCCCCCACCCACCCTCTCTTTTCTTCGAGGGTATCTCGTCTGCCAAAATCATTCTTATTTTAGCAGGTACTAGTCCCGCCCACCCACCCTCTCTTTTCTTGGAGGGTACCTCATCTGCCAAAATAACTTTTATCTTAGCAGATACTAGCCCCGCCCACTCTTTTCTTACAAGATATCTTTGGCAAATGAGATACCCTCTAAGAAAAGAGAGGGCGGGTGGGTGGGGCGAGTATCTGCTAAGATAAAACTGATTTTGGCAAATGACATACATTCTAAGAAAAGAGTGGGTGGGTGGGCGGGGCTAGTATCTAGGCCAAATCATAAACAAAAAATTTTGATTAATGATTTACCATGTTTACCATAATCTTAAATTTTCTAATCCATTCGGTTTTACAATTTCAAAGTTAAATTGTAAAATGTTACTCAATTTTGATTTCTTTCCCCAAAAATGTGGATGTCTAGGGTGAAAACTCGACTGAATCACACAGGCAGGAGTGAAAATTAGAAAAATTAAATAAGTATATAACACCAAAAAAAGGGACAAATCAGTAGTAACAAAATTGTACGTTTCACCCCACATTTTGTGTTTTAATTTATTATAAGGTGCTTTATCATTTTTAACAGGCCAATTCTGACGTCGAAGTAGTTTTTATTTGTTTTTCCGCGATTTCTATATGGATCCGCCGGAATTATGGCCAAAATCGTTAGAACCCACAATAACCTTAAAAATGGGGTGAAATGTTAAAAAATGCATTAAAAAAAGTCACTACAAAAATTGACTTTTTTTATTTGATAAAAAAGCAATAAAAAACTTCAACGTCAAAATTGGCCTGTTTGCTTAAAACATGATAAAGTACCTTAAACTAGATAAAAAAACAGGTAAAAAAAGCTTAAATAAGTAGATGAAAAAAAAAATGCGGGGTGAAACATATCATTTTACTTTCTACTAACTTCAGTTTAGAAATTTCATCTAAAATGTCCGATAAATCCAATCCTTAAACCCGAGTCATTGAGATGAGAATTGGATTTGAAATAATAAACAATACAGTATAACCTCTATAATCCGAACCCACGATTATCCGAACATCCATTAATCCGAACAGAGGCTAGTTGAAGTCGATATCTCTTTAATCCGAACAAAAACTCTGCAATCCGAACTGAACTTGAAAACATGCACCTACTTGCAAAAATGACTCAAGACCTTCTTTCTATAGGTGATTTTTTGAAATTTTTAAAAATTATGATATTTCAATGCACTGAATTAATTATCTAATTCTGGAAAAAAGGTTAAAGTTGCCGCCCTCTATTTTCTTAGAGAAACCTCATTTGCCAAAAACCCAGCAGGTACTAGCCCCGCCCACCCACCCCGTCTTTTCTTATAAGGTATCTCATTAGCCTAAATCAGTCTTATCTTAGCAGCTATTAGTACCTGCCAAGAAAAGAGTGATTTTGGCAAATGAGATACCTTCTAATACGAATGGGCGGGACTAGGAACTCTTAACCCCACCCACCCACCCTTCATTTTCTTAAAGAAATCTCATCTGCCAAAATCAGTCTTATCGTTACAGGTACTAGGCCCCCCACCCACCCACCCTCTCGTTTCTTAGAGCATGTCATTGGCCAAAATCAGTCTTATCCCAGCTAGTGTCTGCTAAGATAAAACTGATTTAGCTAATAACATATCCTCAAAAAAAAAGAGAGGGTGGGTGGGCGGGGCTAGTAGCTGCTTAGATAAGACTAATTTTCGCTAATGAGATATCGTAGGTGGGGCGAATATCTGCTAAGATAAAACTGATTTTGGCAAATGACATACATTCAAAGAAAAGAATGGGTGGGTGGGCGGGGCTAGTACCTGCTAAGATAAGAGCGATTTTGACAAATGAGATACACTCTAAGAGAAGAGAGGGCATATCCAAAAGTACTGTTTAAAGGTAGACTTATACATTTAATTGCAGGCGGCAATTTAATGGTAATCACACTTTATCTGTTTCGAAAAATTAAAAGATTTGTCGTCATCAAGATTTTTTGCAAGGACACATATGCAGGATGTTAAAATTACAAATGCAATAAATATTCCTAAAAATATAACAGACACATAAAAAACGATATATATACAGGGTGTTATTGAAAGGTACGTACAACAAAATTGAAAAACTTTATTTGTGTTATCAAAATTATAAGGGGAAAATTAACCCCTATCCAACCTTTTTAGACGCTACTGAAGAATAAATAGGTAAAATTAATTTATTTTAGTAAATCCTAGCAACTGTAACAATAATAAAAAAATAAGAGACCCTTTTGTTGCTACAGAAACGAAAGATGAACTTTTTATCAGAGGCGTACGACGAATTTGGACAAATTTTAATA